AATCACTAATGGTTATAGGTAGATGATAAACAGATACTTGAAAGCTTATTGAAATCTCTAATACAGTTCAGTAGTCTTGTTATCTTATGCATGAATGTCTACAACCAGAAGTCATAGATCCAGATAAGCCCATATGGATTATTAGAAACAAGTCATATCTGAGGTCTCACTCGAGTTTTCAATTCACCTTCAAGTCCTAGATTGAAATTCAGTTCTATAGACATTCCAGCATAAATCTGGATCAGTCGTCTTACCGACATCTATGGAAAATATCCACTTGGAAAAAAACACTCACATAACATTATCCCTTTAACATTCCATTCAACCCTAGAATCCTTCGAACTATCAGAATTCGATGTATCCACATCTACTGGGTAATCGGTTAGTTGAGAGAACTGACTTCCTCATAGGCAGCTCACCTTCCTAAAAAGACATTCCTCATGAGTCCATATTGCTGACAGATTCACACTGCTGGAACTATGCACCATAAAGACTCCTAGGAATAAAAACTGGATTAACCATACCTCCGGTTACACTGATCTCAGTGCATTGGGCGGGATCTTGACAGCTAACAAAACCATCCGTTCTTCGGAAACCTATACCAATTATCTTGCGCATATAAATCTCGTTGACCACGATTGCCGCTGAGTTAACTTGACAGTGTGTTAGTTGATATCCATCGAAATGACAAGGAGGCTCACAATCCCACACTACCAGTCTTGGCCCGTAATTCGCTGGTACACAAAACATCCTCATTTAACTGCGACGTGTTCAGCGGACGTTTGCTGACTAGTCAGTCATAGTTACTTCCACCCCGTCTCTAAACCTCATTAAATGGCCATGCTAATGGGGGCCCAACAGTTCGATTCAAGAAGAATTGCAGGTAAATCCAGCTGATGAGTCTTAAATGGGACGAGACGTGCGCCCTGGATTCCTCTGCTAGCCGCAACTAAGCAAGGTACCACAGCTACTCTTTCCTTATTGTTGCGTTCAAGGTCGTTCTGTAGCGGTCCAGGGTTAGCGAAATACTATATTTCTACCTGATTGGTTCATCCCTTATATCTAATGGTGTACATATAAGCTTGATATTGGTTGTAGTCTTACCTGCCTTGTATTCTAATCGCCGGATCATGTTTCACCTCACATAAGATGAATAGATGTCTACTAAATTCATACTACTAATATACAAAATAAGTAGTCTGTAGAAATAAATAATCCATCTTTTTCACCATTTTGGAGTGCGTAATTAAAACATGAAGTGCATCTGAATAACGTGACTTAATCGTGTAGCGCATTTTCTGACAAACTAATCATATATTTCAACTGTCAAATCGTGTCTTATTTGAAACAAAGTGGGGGGTGAGCAACCCCTCCCCCCCCCTCACCCTGGAGATGAAAACAAGGTGGTTCTGTTCGATAATTGACTGATGAGAAGTATACACCAAAACGACAATAGCTAAGTTTTTAAAGGCTTCTTTTTAATGTCTTACAAGTAGGCTAAATAAAATGCCTATTTCATAGTGTAGAGACAGCTACTTACAGAGGTGAATATAAGTAGTATATATATACAGCAACTTGAAAAATGAAAGCGATGCATTGGTGAGAAATCAGGCAAGTGGAATATACAGTATTGGATAGAGAAAAACAATGCACAAGAATTGGGTTGAACGAGATGCATACAAGAAGATAATTTGCAAATCGATAAATTGTAACTAGGTAAAGGGACTTCAAAGTTGTCATTGTTGAGATAACCGCACACGTTCCGCAAGTTTCACCTACTTCTGCTGACTCATCATCAATGTTGAATGTTGCATGGCTTCAGTAGAACGTCGCCATTTCACTCTCTTCTATGCAGCCTTTTGAAGATGGCTCCACCTCTACTTCACACGATCTACTCGATGTCACCGTCGGACGCCCAACTAATTGTTTCCCATTTGGCTTCCACTCGAGGGACTGGCCTGGAGCCTGATGTTCCTAGTCGGCCTTCTCAGTCTATTCCCAATCCGTCTCCACTTTCTTCATCTGCATATTTATTCGGCGATGAGTTCCAGCTTGGTTCATTGCCAGCTAGCAAGGGTTTCTCCTTGCTTATTCTTTCTGGTCTTCTGATTTCCATCTTCAGTATCGAGAGACCGTAGACGACAGCTGCTCATGTATGTCAACACTTTGTTGGAAATGATTTTCGTAACGCGCCAACTATTTCAACCATCATATAGAAGTAAGCAATGACTTGAATGACTTCAGTGTTGAAAATCCGCATGTTGTTCACACTTTATGTTGTGTGCAGTGCAGTGCAGAGCAGTAGCTCTCCACACTGATTTCAGATGAATGAAGGCTGGCTTATCTTTCTGTATTTCTTATCATGGCTTTGACATCCTCATCTATGCCTTTGCCGTCACCTGTACTACAGATGATGCTACTTAGGTAGGCAGGTGAAAGAGACAACTTCCTTTACATTTCTCTCATTGATGGTGATTGGTGTTTGTTGTTGTTCGCTGGGTATCTTCATCACCTGTGTCTTCACTACCTTCACCTGAATGAAGTCTCTTCTTTCCCCACTGCTTCTCCGCTGCCCCTTCTGTCAACTTGTTAGTTTTTGCCCGTCGATCTTTGAGTTTGTGCGACATTAGACATAAATCATCATCGAGGTGAAATCCAAATGTTCTCCTGGGTTCTTTTCATCAGCGTAGCCAGCATATACTCCGCTTTTCGCTCGTCACAATTGTTTTTTGCATGACTCAGCGCAGTCCAGTTTAGTTGACCACAATGAAGAAGATCATCGATGTTAGTAGACGGCAACCTTGTCTTACTCCTGTAAAACCGAAGCGTTAGCCATTCGTGAACGTAAGCCTCCGTTATTATGTGGACAATAGCAGTTTGTTTTTTCACTCAATTCACTTCAGTAATCCTTGACGGTTTTTATTTTCATATATAAATTGATTCGAGACGGGTGAGGTGTGTATGTGGGTGGGGGGAATATCAGATTGTTCTAAATGTGTATTACTCAAATACATTACACACATATTGTTCAGATAATCTTCAGCTTCTGTTAATGCTATTGAAACAAATGATTATGGTCATTCTATTTCTCGTTAGTATTCATCATGGAATGATATTGTAAACGTGAGAGAACTTTATCATTATCTGTTTTGCCTTAACTTTTACCTCCTCAACAGTATACACCAACTACTTCACTTTATCAGAGATCGAACTCATGACGTTTACGTGTTTCGACTGAGGTGGATGGAGTTTCGTGCTGCACAATTTCTTTATTCTGTTAATTCGCGATATACCTCCAAGGTCTTCAGTTCACTGGATCGCGAATTCCCGGTCTAGCCATAGATTCCCAATAGGGTGAAACGTTTGATGCCCAGTTGTCTCAGATTTCCAATGGTTTTTCAACTATTGTGAGTCCATGGCGAATACCTACCTGAGAACTAATTTAGTTGACTAGATGTAGAGACTGATACGATGTGAAGGGTTATGCTTGCTCGATCTTTGACAGAGTTTGACATCCCTAGCGGATAGAATGCATGTTATCTAAGAGTCTAGAAGTACCTCCTGGTTACTTGTCATGGAACTCACCAGCCTTATCCACCACACAGTACTCTACACCGATGGTAAGTTAGCAGCAGAAATATTGTCGACACACTTTATGGACAGTATACCATGCGCCATTATTCAACAATTGAGACGTATATTAGCACAGACACGGAGAAGATCTAACCAGAAACAGTACATAATATCTACTTATATTTATGATTATTATTTGCCCCTCGGGTTCCTAGTGGAACATAGGAATTCAGTAGCACGTCCCATTCCACTCTCTTCTCTGCAATCGTTTCAACCTGGCACCACGACCGCCCAGAAGCACTCATTTCTTTCTCACACCATCTCCTACTCCATGTCACCCTCAGATGGGACGCCCGACTCGTCGTTTCCCATCTGTATTCTACTCGAGGGACTGGCCTGGCACGTGATGTCTCCGAATGGTGTTCTCAGTGCATGTCCAATGCATCTCCACTTCCTTCTTCTGCATATTTTGTTCAGTGATAGGTTCTTGGTTGGTTCGTCACCAGCCAGCAAGAGTTCCTTGTTGCTTATTCTTCTCATTCTGGCCATCTGATCTGAGCTTCAGTAACGAGCCAGCGTAGGCAGTTGTTGATGAATATCTGTAGTTTGCTGGAAATCCCTTTCATAACGCACCAAGTCTTTGAGCCATACACAAGCACTGATCTGACTGAATTAGTGTTGAAAATACTAATCTTGTTCATGTTTTATGCTGAGTGCAGAAGCTCTCCACACTGGTTTCAGGCTAATGAACCCCTGTCTTCTTTTACCGCTCGTGTTAGGCTTTGGCATTCACGTCCGTGCCGCCTGTAGTTGAAACAGTGCTGCCTAGATAGGTGAAGGAGGCTACTTCCTTCAAGTTTTTCCCGTTCATTGTGATTGAAGCTTGTTGTTGGTGGTGGTGGCGTTGGTTGAGTATTATTATCACCTCTGTCTTCTCTACACTCACTTGAAGTCCCGTCTTCACTGCGCTGCTTCTTCTGTAAACTTGTTAGTTTTCACCTGTAGATCTTCAAGTTTGTGTGACATTTTTTGCCGACAAGTTTTTTTGCTAATATGCTATACTCCAAGCCTCTGATATGTACTGATCTGTAAGAAGAATAAACTTGTGAGGGTGATTTGCACATTTTCAATGTTTAAATGTTATGTTAAGTGGTGATCATATAAATCAACATTTTAAGTTATCAACCAATCAGCTTTAAATCTTCATTTATGCTGCTGTCTAGTCAGCATTAATCTGATTGGCTAATCCTCAAATTTAATATGAGCCAATCAGGATACGCGATTTCATCTTTGACCTAGAGTATTTTTATGTTTATTTGTCAATTTGAGTTGACCTTGAAGTCGTAGGTCAGTTTTTGTCTAGTAATATTTCGTTTTAGTTATAATATTATTCATTTAGGGAGATGTTTAAATGTTTATTTCTACAGGTAATAATTATGCAAACTTATCCACATCCAAATATTGTGGAAATGTTTGGATCATATTTAATCGGAAATGAACTTTGGGTGGCTATGGAATATTTGGAAGGTGGAGCTTTGACGAATATTGTCACACGGACATTGTAAGTGTGATTTTCTGAGTGTTTCATCGATTTGTCTGGCTTACCTAGTATCCTTAGGTTAACCTTGACATTTCTAACATAATCATTCTACTAAAAGTGAGGAATGCCGAGAAGACAGGATGAGAGTTTGATATGTTCGGAGCTGATCTTCTTAACCGCGACCTCTAACATCAAAAAGGTAGCATCAGTGTCTTAGTACCAGTTATCAAAGGGAAACACCATACTGCTGCTACACTTCAATCCAGTCAACAGTACGACTTCGACCTCAAACCCCCATCACAACTTCACAGTTTACACGATAGCCATAATTGCGTTTCATATTACCACTAGTCAGAAAACTTTTCTGGCATGGTAAGAGGTCGAGGGAACAGGCGTTCCATCAGTGCAGCTCGTTGGGCCATTGGGGTATGCAAGCCCAGCCCACACGTCAATGTAAGAACTATCGGTTGAGAGTGGACTTTGATTATCGGCATGCATTATAACAAATGAGAAAGACAGGAGTCTTTCTTCAATTGTAATCTTTGGCATCACTTCTCAGTTAAGATTACTGTAGAGGATGTAAGCTTCAACGAACTGCTCAGGATATTCATCTTAACTTAGAATATCTTGAATACACACCAGTTCTTTCTCCACAGACACGCATACACACACACACCCTGCTTGGAACAAGTCGATCTTACTCATGATGTCAGGCGGCATCTGATTATATCATACAAGTTTAAAAAAAATCTATGCCACCGCAGTATAGAGCTTTAAAGGGGATTTTCCCTACCATCCTTGACTTCATAGTTCGATTACTCTTCCCAGCGTTCAACTTGTCGCCGCATTCACAACTGGATGTGACGTAATCATCTGTGCAGTGATGAGGTTTACTTTGAAATGTGAGTTTCGTTTACTTGATCAAATTGAGCTTGACTGCATAGTATGTCTTTTGAATAACTAAAATCAGCCTTCATCTTCAGATCGTGATATGTGATTCCTGCTGATGGGGAAGAATTTTCACCGCTGCATGTTTGTTACATAACTCCTGGACAAACGGATATTATCGATTATATCCTCAACCAGTAAAAAATGGTCTTAATGGACTGACTATAGTGACACCTTTAAATCTGTTGAGAATGTTCACCTCACGAAAGTAGTGATGTGAACCTTATCGGGGGCATAATAGCAGTTTAGAGGGATACACAATGCAATGTAGTACGTGTGTGTGTGTGTGTGCTAGGGAGTGAGCGAGTGAGCGATGAGAAGTAATTGAACTATAAAAGTTGATGGTGGTAGAATGAATGAAATCATTGATTCCCCTTTCATAGGTAAGGCGAACTGATACAGGAACACTGTTCAAGTGATTATGAATAGAATTACTCCATAGACCATCAGATCAATCTTGAATAGTCAGTTAAATGATCAATATGATCAAACAATGTAGAGATCTGAAAGACAGTGAAAATCAATATACAATCTCGTACACAGAAGTGTGATGGGTTCACACTTAACAGAGTCTTAAGGGAGTCTACCAAAGTAGTATACATTTACTCATATGGCTGAGACAGACAAATATGAACTGTGTCGATCTAATCCATTTTTGTTTAATGTTCGAAGTCGAGATAGATGATGACTTGGTTTGGGATTATTATTATTTGTCCCTTGGGTTCCTAATGGAAAATTGGGCTTCATTAGCACATCTCCAGTGAGCTCTGTTCTCTGAAATCTTCTGAACCTGGCTCCACGGCTATCTAGAAGTTCTCATTTCCTCCTCGCACGATCTCCTCGATGTCACTGCCAACTAGGAAGCCAAACTCGTCGCTTCCCATCAGGGTTCCACTCCAGGGTTTGTGAAGTAAACTGTTTTTTGAGGGAGTTGTGGGAATTTGGAAATATTTCAAGTTGTTATTCATCATAGACTGACATCAACTGGAGTAACATTTGAAATCTGGGTGCACTAGACAGCTGTTTCGTCCGACCAGTTCGGGACTCCTCAGCAGTGCACACCCACGACCCTGCACCATCACGGATCGAACCCGCGACCTTCAGCTTCCGTGGTCAGCACGTTACCACTGAACCACTGGGTCAGAATCGTAAGCTAACCGAAGTTAGAAATATGGCCGACTGGATTCTGACCAAGTGGCTCAATGGTAACGTGCTGACCACGGAACCTGAAGGTCGGGGGTTCGATCCCTCGTGGTGCGGGGTCATGGTTGAGCTCTGCTGAGGAGTCCCATTCTAGTCAGACATAACAGCTGTCCAGTGCTCTCAGATTCCCATTGTTCCCTCAAATGATGTCAGTCTACGATGAATAACAACTTGAACTAGACTGCTTAACATGTTTGTTATCTGCGATCTCACTACTTGTGAAACTAATCAGTAATCTTTTCTCAAAAAGTATTATGATAATTTACTTGATTGTGGATAGTAGAAGAGTCTAGGATGTGTGTTTTTTCATCCCATTCGGGACTCGTCAACTGGATGTACTTGCACTTCAGATAGATTCCAATCTCGTACTCATCGCTTCAAACACCAAAGCGCTATCCAATAGACTGCGGAGAGAAAATAGCCACCTGTTGAACCATCCACATCCTGGAATTCTCTTTTAGTCACAACCAATTAAATTATCATAATAAAAAGGGAGTTGCAGATTGAATTGATTGTTGATTTCAGATCAACAAACCTATTGTTGTCTAGTACAGAGTGCTGATCGAATTCTGTTAATCATTTTCGCAATATGATCACCATCATGATGTTAGGTCATTATCATCATTATTTGTCTCTTAGGTTCTTAGTCGAATATAGGGCTTCACTCTGTAGTCTTTCGAACCTGGTTTCACGACTGCCCATAACATTTCATTTCCTTCCTACACCATCTCCTCCTCTATGTCATCCTCAGACGCCCAAATCGTCGTTTCCCCCTCCCCTGGGTTCCACTTGAATGATTGGACTGGCGCATGATGTTACCAAACGGTCTTCTCAATGTATGCCCAATACATCCTCACTTTCCTCCACTGAATATTTGTTTGGAGACTGCTTCTTGGTTGGTTCTTTGCCAGTCAGCCACATTTCCTCTTTCCCTATTCTATCTGGCCATCTGCGCCCCATCTTCACTATCCAGTGAACGCAGTCGGCAGCTGTTGATGAATCATTGTAGTTTGTTAAAAACGATTTTCGTAAGGCACCAACTCTCTCAACCATCACATAGAACCAAGCAATGACTCGAATAAAATTAGTGTTGAAAATGTGGATCTTGCTGATTATGCTGAATGCAGTGCAGTGAAATAGATCTCCACACTGATTTCAGATTAATGAAGGGTGGCTTGTCTTGCAGTCTTTCCGATCCTGGCTTTCACAACTCCATGTGTGCCTGTGTCACCTGCCATCGAAACGGTACTGCCTAGATAGGGAAGGGAAAGAGATAACCACCTTCACTTTTCTTCTGTTGATGGTGATTAGTGTTTGTTGTTGTTCTTGGTTGGTTGTCTTCATCACCTCTGTCTTCTCTACGTTCATGCGAAGGAGGACCCATCTTCGCTGCCCTACGGCTTCTCTCAAATTGTTACTTTTCGACTGACATACTAAGGTTCGTGTGACAAAACATTTGACATAAATCATCATCAGCGAAATCCAACTCATCTACGATGTTTTCATCAGTCAAACAGCCAGCGTATGCTCATCTTCTCACAGCTACTCACAGTTGATTCTTACACGATCCAGTCCAGTCGACCACAACGTAGTCGGCAGCTGTTGATGAATGATAGCAGTTTGTTGAAAAATGATCTACATAAGGCACCAACTCTCTCAACCATCACACAGAAGCAAGCAATGACTTGACTAACATTACTGTTGAAAATACCAATCTCGGTGTTTATGCTGAGTGTAGTAGATGTGCACACTGATTTCAGATTCATGAAGGCCAATCCTAGCTCCGACATCCTCATCTGAGCCTGTGCCACCTGTAGTTGAAAACATACCTCCTAGGTAGCTGTGTAGGTGGAAGAGACTAATTCCTTTAGGTTTCACCTGTTCATGGTGATTGGTGTTGGTTGTTGGGTATCTTCATCACCTCTGTATTCTCTGTATTCACTCACTGTTCAACATCCTACCTCTTCTCTCAACTTGTCACTTCTCACCTGTACATCTTCGAGTTTGTGCGACAACACACTAGACATAAATCATAATCAGCGAAATCCAAATCTTCTTCTCCCGTGTGGTTTCATCGGTTAAACAGCCAGTGTATGCCCATCTTCTCACAGCTCCTCACAGTTGTTTGTTGCATCATCCAGTCCAATCCAATCCAGTCGACTAGAATGAGGAAGATGATCGGTGATAGTAGACGGTAACCTCGTGTTACTTCTGTCTTCACTTCGCTTCACCTCACTTCACAGGTGAAGTTGATGTTGAGTTCAGTTGACTGCAATTCTACATTCTGTTCTATGATGGTGCGTAGCGTAGTGTTGCAATCTGATCCACATATGAATTGTACTTCCTGAATGCAGGTTGTTTGGGTTGTAATTTTGAATGGAGAGCACCTTTTAGTCTCTCCAGGATGATGGGGCTTACTATTTTGCTCGGTTTGGGTGGACAGGAGCATGATTTCGCTCCAGGGATTTTTGTCGATTGAAGGCAATTTGTTCGAAGGTGGTTCTTTCATTAGTTACTGTGCTTTTAATACAGTACCACTACCCACTCAGTCTATTTGATTAACACCTTCTATGAAACAGTTATGACTCTCAGTTATAGCGTCAATAACTTCACCAATGAACGACTGACTTTCAAGTTTAAGATGGGATAATTATCCTATTCGAGGTTGCATATATACAAGTAGGAGCTTGAAGAAGTGGAAAGTTATTGAAAACATCTGTTCGCTGTATGGCTAACAGTGGAATCCAATAGGCTATCATGTTCTACTTGATGTATGGATTCATAGGTCTAGTCTGAGTTGGGAATAACAACATCATTCAGTAAGAGGCGACTCCATTCATAGCTGGTGAGTAAGCTCTAAATAAGACGGAACCGGAATCTTAAACTTTATACTATCATACGTCATCAATATCAAAATTGAAAACATCAGTGGTAGTGTCATGGTATCCGCATAAGGGGACCTATTCGATTATGTTGTTCTTATAATCAACTGTATTTTATGTTTTATGTTTTTTTTTCCAGAATGTCAGAGAAACAAATTGCTACTGTCTGTCGTGATGTTCTTCGAGCATTAGCTTTCCTTCATGATCATGGAATTATTCATCGTGATGTGAAGTCAGATTCTATTCTCTTATCGATTGATGGTCGAGTGAAACTATCCGACTTTGGATTTTGTGCAAGAGTAAGTTTTTGCTATTCGTGTTGTTTTATTATTCTGACTATTAGGGAGAAGGTGTAGTTAGGAGGTGGTTTTCATCCAAACTAGGGCTCATCAGCTGAATTTACCTACACTCTAGTGAGTGAGTGAGTGGGTGACGTTGTGTCCATAGCGTCTTGAATCTTGTACTCATCGCTATAAAGGCTGAAGCGTGATCCATATTAAGTCAAGTGAGGAACCGAAGTTAAATCTCTCAATGGGAATACCATCATTGAATCGAAAGGGAATTGAATGTTACAATCAAGTTAATAGTTTAATTGATGAGAACACCAATATCACTTAGTAGGGTGCCAGTAACGTACATCCATCCAGCTGAGGAATGTTAAGCTATTAGCCACCTAGTGAACAATGAGAAAATATCGAATAGCCCATATTCTGCTAACAGAAGTAGGTGAATTCGAGTCAGTATAACAACAGTCAACATCATATCGACTATTACAGAGACTGTTGCCATGGATACTTCAGCGTAAAATCAAATGGTTACAGCATGGAGAATACCTGAAACAATTAAGGTACAACAAAGATTAATTAGATGACAATACATACAGATCTGGTTATACTAAAGAGAAGTGTCTATATTGATCAAATGGTGACTCTACTCTCGGATGAAAACTAATTCTACAAACTTGCTAATAACCAGTAATCTCTATGAAAGCTAAAGGTTCAACAATTCTATGACTTTAAGGATTATCAAAAATTCACAAAGTCGGTCTACTCTTTCGTTCGATTCTAGACATATCTGAATCTCCTTACTATTCACTCGTGAAATTATTATTATTTGCCACTTTGAGTCCTATTGGAACATACGACTTCAGTAGTACGCCTCTATTCCACTCTGTTCTTTACAGTCTTTTGAACCTGGCTCCACGACTGCCCAAAAACTCTCATTTCTTCCTCACACTATCTCCTCCTCCATGTCACCCTCGCCTCGGACGCCCAACTCGCCGTTTCCCATCTCGGTTCCATATGAGGGACTGGCCTGGCACGTGATATCCCCAAATGGTCTTCTCAGCGTATGTCCAATCCATCTCCACCTCCTTCTACTGCATATTTGTTGAGCGATAGGTTGTTGGTTGGTTCGTCACCAGACAGTCAGAGTTCTTTGTTTCTCATTCTTTCTGGCTATCCATCTGAGCTTCAGTAACGAGCCAGCGTAGGCAGTTGTTGATGAATATCTGCAGTTTGTTGGAAATGCTTTTCGTGATACGCCAAGTCTCTGAACCATGTTGATGTTGAAAATACGGATCTTTTTCACGCTTTATGCTGAGTGCAATAGATCTCCACACTGATCATTTCAGATTAGTGAAAGCCTGTCTTGTTTTTCCAATTCTGGCTGATTTGGCATTCTCGTCTGTGCCGCCTGTAGTTGAAACGATGCTGCCTAGATAGGTGAAAGAGGCTACTTTCTCTAAGTTTCGCTCCTTGATGGTGATTGGAGCATGTTGTTGTTGTTGGTGGTGGCGTTGGTTGGGTATCATCATCACATCTGTCTTCTCCACGTTCACTTGAAGTCCCAAATTCCTTTACTGCCCTGCCTCTTCTGTCAACTTGTTAGATTTCGCCTGTAGATCTTCCAGTTTGTTCGACAAGACATTAGACATAAATCATCATTGGGGTGAAATCCAAATCTTCCAGGCTCTTTTCATCAGTGAAGCCAGTGTATGTCCATCTTCTTGCTCCTCACAGTTTGTTGCATGATCCAGTCGACCACAACCAGGAAGATCATAGGTGATAGTAGACGGCAACCCTGTTTCACTCCTGTCTTCACTTCACATCAGAGGCATCATTGAGCTTCCCGTTATGAATTACTTGGCATGTGGCGTCTTCATATACTTGTTGAATGAGGTTGATAAAGGTTTGTGGTATTCCATAGTGTTGAAGCAACTGCCAAATTACTTCTGGGTCGACACTGTCGAAGGCCTTTCCAAAGTCGATGAAGTTGATGCAAAGAGTTGAAATAGCTAAATGAAATCTTAGAGTTTGTAAGAAGATGAATCACCATTTACTTTCTACGTTATACTTTTGAATTTGTTGAGGAGATAGGAGACGAAGACGTATGTAATCAATGTATGATATCATTTGATGTCGAGCCCCTTCTCATCAGTGTTCCACTAACTGAAACTATCTTCTTGTTATGCAGACACATAGAACGTAACAACATGAATATTGGGATACTAACCCCCTTCCACCTTACTGTCTCACGGAATTGTTACTTAGATGCATATTCAACATTCAGTTCACATTTAACAACATGACAGGAAGATGGAATCGCAATGAGATCCCCAGTAGTTCCAAGAACAAGAACAACTGATTGGATCTTTACGTAGATCAATGGAGTAGTCAGCTGACGAATTTCAATAGCTACGTCCCTATGAATCGTAAGCGAAACCTGGTCATATCTCTTGCCAATCATATTAGACAAATGTACAGTCATGATGTATTAGAAGAGGAAACGGATTCCCACCACACTTCATAGGCTATCACATCAAACCTAAACCTCGTAAAGAGAACCTTATTACCATGCTGAAAAAAGAAGACACTCTATGTGAATGTAAACTTCAAAGGTGATTCTGCTGCTCTAAGGAAAACATTCTTTGTGTCACCCGACGATTCCTTAACAACTCAAGGAAGAAGCTTTCACATCTGACCACTTTTGCTCCTGTGAAGCCAGGTATATAGGTCATTGAATGTAACTGTTATCCAAAAGAGTCCAAGAACACTATCCTCCTTGGTTATAAAGAGGTAACAATGGAGCGATATGGAAGATTTCTTTCCATCTTGCTGTTTTGACACCAATCAATTCTGAAGTGATTTGCTACTCATTCATGTTGCTATATACTCTGCCTGATCACAGATAATTTTCCAATTATTTCGTCATTATGTTACGACGCCTAGTTAACTAGTTCACTAGTTACTAGTCGGTCCTAAGCTTGGGTAAATAGAGAAGGTTAAGCATATCAAATAATCAGGTTACTACCTGGGAAGAGAACAATGTAGACGAAACCAATTAAAGATAGTGAAGGAAATAACGCCAGCAGCTACAGAATTACCAGTGAACACAAGCCCTCCAACAAAAGCAGAAGTCCTCAACGCCATAAAACTGCTGAAATCCGTGGAAGCAGTAGCACCAGATGGAATTCCACCAGAAGCACTGAAAACAGACGCAGAGACAACAGCGGACACGCTCACACCACTACTACAGAAGGTTTGTAAGGAAGAAAAATAAGGTACATGTCGATTGAAGGAGGAGGGCGACCCAAGTCTTTGCAAGAACTGGTGCAGAGTCATGCTGCTATCCACACCAAGCAAAATATTAGGCTACATCATCCTGGAGAGACTAAAAGGTGCTCTCCATTCAAAATTACAACCCAAACAACCTGCATTCAGGAAGTACAATTCATATATGGATCAAATTGCAACACTACGCTACGCAACATCATAGAACAGAATGTAGAATTGCAGTCAACTGAACTCAGCATCAACTTCATCGACTTTGAAAAGGCCACCGATCAAGGAGTCGATCGACAAGTAATTTGCAAAACACCGTGGTTTGAGTGCCACAAACCTTTATCGACTTCATTCAACAGCAACTATATCCTACATACGGATGCTACATGTCAAGTGATTCACAATGGAAAGCACAGTGACACCTGTGAAGTGAAGTGAAGTGAAGTGAAATGAAGACAGAAGTAACACGAGGTTACCGTCTACTATCACCGATCATCTTCCTCATTCTGGTCGACTGGATTGGATTGGACTGGATAATGCAACAAACAACTGTGAGGAGCTGTGAGAAGATGGGCATACACTGGCTGTTTGACCGATGAAACCACACGGGAGAAGAAGATTTGGATTTCGCTGATTATGATTTATGTCTAGTGTGTTGTCGCACAAACTCGAAGATGTACAGGTGAGAAGTGACAAGTTGAGAGAAGAGGTAGGATGTTGAACAGTGAGTGAATACAGAGAATACAGAGATGATGAAGATACCCAACAACCAACACCAATCACCATGAACAGGAGAAACCCAAAGGAATTAGTCTCTTCCACCTACACAGCTACCTAGGAGGTATGTTTTCAACTACAGGTGGCACAGGCTCAGATGAGGATGTCGGAGCTAGGATTGGCCTTCATGAATCTGAAATCAGTGTGCACATCTACTACACTCAGCATAAACACCGAGATTGGTATTTTCAACAGTAATGTTAGTCAAGTCATTGCTTGCTTCTGTGTGATGGTTGAGAGAGTTGGTGCCTTATGTAGATCATTTTTCAACAAACTGCTATCATTCATCAACAGCTGCCGACTACGTTGTGGTCGACTGGACTGGATCGTGTAAGAATCAACTGTGAGTAGCTGTGAGAAGATGAGCATACGCTGGCTGTTTGACTGATGAAAACATCGTAGATGAGTTGGATTTCGCTGATGATGATTTATGTCAAATGTTTTGTCACACGAACCTTAGTATGTCAGTCGAAAAGTAACAATTTGAGAGAAGCCGTAGGGCAGCGAAGATGGGTCCTCCTTCGCATGAACGTAGAGAAGACAGAGGTGATGAAGACAACCAACCAAGAACAACAACAAACACTAATCACCATCAACAGAAGAAAAGTGAAGGTGGTTATCTCTTTCCCTTCCCTATCTAGGCAGTACCGTTTCGATGGCAGGTGACACAGGCACACATGGAGTTGTGAAAGCCAGGATCGGAAAGACTGCAAGACAAGCCACCCTTCATTAATCTGAAATCAGTGTGGAGATCTATTTCACTGCACTGCATTCAGCATAATCAGCAAGATTCTCATTTTCAACACTAATTTTATTCGAGTCATTGCTTAGTTCTATGTGATGGTTGAGAGAGTTGGTGCCTTACTTAGATCATTTTTTAACAAACCACAGTCATTCATCAACAGCTGCCGACTGCGTTCACTGGATAGTGAAGATGAGGCGCAGATGACGAGATAGAATAAGGAAAGAGGAAATGTGGCTGACTGGCAAAGAACCAACTAAGAACCAGTCTCCAAACAAATATTCAGTGGAGGAAAGTGAGGATGTATTGGGCATACATTGAGAAGACTGATTGGTGACATCGTACGCCAGTCCAATCATTCAAGTGGAACCCAGGGGAGGGGGAAACGACGATTTGGGCGTCCGAGTGTAACATGGAGGAGGTCGTGTGAAGAAGAAATGAGAGCTTATGGGTAGCCGTGGAACCAGGTTGAAAAGACTGCAGAGAACAGAGTGGTATGGAGACGTGCAACTGAAGCCCTTATGTTCCACTAGGAACCCAAGGGACAAATAATGATCATAATAATAATGTTACGAAACTTCTTGTTGAGACGTATGTGGATTATTATTCAATACTCAACAGTTTCTTCATTCGAATAACAGCTCACCTGATTGACACTATTCATCTTGCCTAGTATGCCTGACAAACCGCTTTTTTTGCTCTCAAATCCGCAGTGTTATTGCTTGTATCATATCATCATTGATTGAACCCAGTTGACCGGTGTCGATTGGCATATTGACTTGTGTGTGGATGCCTCGATATTACCTGTTTTCTAATTATAATAGTGATGGATAGTATCTAGTAGTGGAATCCAGCTTGATGTGCTTTTGATCCTATTAGTAACTTTTTAGCTAGATGTCGTAGTGGATAACGCTTTGGAATGTGCGATGATCGGTTTTGAGTTCGAATCCCGGTGTGAATAACATCACTCCCCGCACTGAGAAGCAAGTACATCCAGTTGACAAATCCCTAATAGAACGCAATGTGCTTCAAGCTGGATTTCACTCCCAGCTACTATCCATCATTACCATCAAACCCTCACACATGAAAAAAGTTTTAGTTTATGAGGTATTCAACAATGAAGCTAGTGATGGCTTCGTCCTTAATAATCTTCTCAAGCGTAGTTTCACAAAGAAATTCAACTTATAAATATCCAGGAGAACTGGACAGCTGTTTCGTCCAACTATTATGGAACTCCTCAGCAGTACGCACCTGCAACCCGGTTAGGGATGGAACTCAGCACCTTCAGGTTTCACGGCGAACGCCTTAACCATTCAGCCATTGGGTCCGTTTCAAGTGGTTCACAATTTCCAACTTCTTTCAATTCACGATATAGAGCTACTATCACCCGTGGGGTCAACCAGTCGGAAGTGAAGTGGATGCTAACTGAAGACCTTGGGTGATAAACACGCTATTTCGTGAATTGACAAAAGTTGGAAATTATGAACCACATGAAACAGACCCAGTGGCTGAATGGTTAAGGTGTTCGCCGTGAAACCTGCAGGTCCTGAATTTCATCCCTAGCTGGGTCGTGGGTGCATACTGCTGAGGAGTTTCATACTGGTTGAACGAAACAGCTGTCGAATGGTCCCAGGTTTTCAACGATGCCTCAACTGATGTCAATCTATGATGAATTATTATCATTATTATTAGTCCCTTGGGTTCCTAATGGAACATAGGGCTTCAGTAGCACGTCTCCAGTGCACTCTATTCTCTGAAATCTTCTGAACCTGGCTCCACGGCTGCTCATAAGCTCTCATTTCTTCCTCACACCATCTCCTCCATATTACCCTCGGACGCCCAACTCGCCGTTTCCCTTTTGGATTCAACTCGAGGGAGTTGCCTGGCGCGTGATGTCCCCAATCGGCCTTCTCACTGCATGCCCAATCTATCTCCACTTTACTCTGCACATTTGTTGAGCGATAAGTTCTTGGTTGGTTCGTTGCCACCCAGCCACAGTTCCTTGTTTCTCATTCTTTCTGGCCATCTGATCTTCAGTAACGAGCCAGCGTAGGCAGTTGTTGATGAATATCTGTAGTTTGTTGGAAATGCTTTTGGTGACGCGCCAAGTCTCTGAACCATATAGAAGCACTGACTTGACTGAATTGATGTTGAAAATCCGGATCTTGTTCTCTATGCTGACCACAGAAGCTCTGCATATTGATTTCAGGTTAATGAACGCCTATCTTGCTTTTCCGATCGTGTCTGGCTTTGACATCCTCGTCTGTGCCGCCTGTAGTTGAAACGATGCTGCCTAGATAGGTGAAAGAGGCTACTTCTTTTAAGTTTCTCCTGCTGATGGTGATTGGAGCTTGTTGTTGGTTCCCACTGCATAAGAGCCTTCGATGCTCTCGGAGACATCATGATAGCCACTCCAAAACTCAGTGTGCTCGTCGTTGTCATCTGGGTGACCGGAGTAGATTCTTGACTTTCCAGTTGACAGTTTTGAGAGTCCACTTCCATTCCATCTGCTTTCGTAAATTCCTAATACTTTTATGCAATACCTTCTCAATACATTCTATGTCCCCATGTTTACTTTCTCTTTCATCGAGAGAAGACACATAGGCCAATTGGCTTCACGAAGGCTTTCACCAACCGGCGTCATCTTGTCTCTCCGATTCCAGTGAGGAATAATTTTGTTATTTTTTATATTTCGTTTGTGCTTTCAAGTTTCTTTAGCGGTTAGATTCGTTTTCCGGTGTAGGGTTGTTAGCCCTATGCCCAACCTTCCCTCTTTACCTGGGCTTAGGAGTGGCTAGTAACTAGTGAACTAGTTAACCAGGCCAGGTCCCATGAGGAATACTACTTCTAAATAAAAAAATTCCCCATTCATCTGAAAAAATACATTATAAATATCCACCAATTAGGTTCAATAGGCTCAACTTGTCTTTTATACATTGATGAGTTATCGGTTGACATTAGAACACAATACAAAGAGGTTCGTAGAGTTATTGAAACATTGATGAAGGATATCTGTAGTTACATCACCTTTGAATCATAGATTCATTGAAAGTATTTCCTTTTTAAATATGTCTAAATGTCTTCCTTAGTTTAATTTTTGTCCAGATTTTTCTCTATAAATCACTTTGCCTACTTAGTGATTAAGTTTGACCCTTGATCTCTTATCTTCACTGTAACTAACACCATTATTTCTGAGTATAACTATCTTTATAATTATTTTTTCTCGCTAACTTTTGAAGTCAGCTGTGTAAGGAAATGCAGCTGCCTTAACACAATAGGAGTAAATAGCTGAGGCCTGATTCTTGGCGACATAACTGAAAATCGGTGATAACAATCCACCTATGTGCAAGGTTCTACGATGATTTTCTGTCTGTCTGTTTATCCATCTATCTGTCTGTCTACCTGTCTATCCGTCTGTTTACCTACCTATCTATCCACCTGTCTGTCTGTCTGTATAATGATGAGAAATTGGATGACAAGACAATACTAGAAAGTATCATAGCTTGACAAGTTGATTGTTTGATGAATTAAGACAACAGAAGTTTAGAAATTTAATTATATCCTTACTATAATTTGATAGAATGATTCTTAGAGGTATATTTCTTCCCCTCTTTTTTCTTTAGGTCTCTCCTGAACATCCACGAAGACGTAGTCTTGTAGGTACACCATATTGGATGTCACCGGAAGTGATTAGTCGTCTACCGTATAATACATCAGTTGATGTTTGGTCAATGGGTGTATTATTAATTGAAATGGTCGATGGGGAACCATCATTTTTCAATGAACCACCATTACATGTTATGCGACATATTCAAAGAGATGGTATACCCTATTTACTCCATCCTCATAAGGTACGGAGGGATGAATATACTTTAATGTAATACAATATTAAGTTGATTGGATCGTGTATTTTGAAGCAGGTAATTGAGCTAACCTTCTCTAAACTGGGGCGTCCAATTGGATGCCTTGATACACCGAATCTCTCAACCATCCCACAGAAGCACTGACTCCACTGAATTGGTGTTGAAACTCTGGATCTTGCTCCACATGCTCAGTGCAGTCCACACTGGTCATTTCAGATTAGACAAAGACTGTCTTACTTGCTTTCCAAATTCTGGTTCACTTTGAAATCCTCGTCTGTACAACTACCACATGTAGATGAATCAATGCTTCCTTGCCTGCCAGGTAGCTGAAACAGACTACTTCCATTAGGTTCCTGCCGTTAATCGTGATTGCTGCATCTTGTTGTTGTTGTTGATGGTGGTGGTGGTGGTTAGGTATCTTCATCACCTTCATCTTATCTACACTCACTTGAAGTCCCGTCTTCGCTGCCCTACCCTGGCATGCCCTGCCCTGTCCTGCCTCTTCTGTCAACTCATTAGTTTTCACCTGCACATCTTCGAGTTTGTGCGACATGACACTAGACATAAATCATCATCGGGGTGAAATCCAAATCCTCTAGGCTGTTTTCATCCATGCAGACAATGCACGCCCCTCTCACCTCTTATCATCTTGATTAATAGGAGTGTGAACTCTTCCTCTAAGCGATTTAACCTACTTTTCACATGAATGTGAACATAATCCTTGAGTGGATTTTGATTTTTTATCGTTAGTGATAGGAAGTTATTGAATTGGCAATAAAACTTGTAAGTCATCAACGGGTAAAGTAGAATTTTGAGTATTTCAATTCTTTTTTTCATGTTGCTGTGTAGTCGAGAAAAACCTTATTGGTCAATTGTGTCATACTACAGTTGACCAATCAGAATGTGCTATTCAACATTGTGCAACAGATGACTATTGTGCTCCATTAGGCATACTGGATAACTGTGTGATTCAAGTCTTAGTAGGCACAATATCATTCATTGGGGGTAGTACAGGCACATCGTCCCTATCTAGGATATCACTCTGAACAAGCAAACTGATGATCAGAATTCTTGTTTTAATATCGTTACGCAATATATTCCAAGAAGTTGATTCAAACTAATGAAAGAAATATGATACTAGAATAAATTCAGAATCCCATTTTTGTAAACTTATTTTCCTGTTGACCATGATGACGTCTGGGATGGCAGCGCCTAGACAAAGTACGTCTGATATTCAGTTGAATAAAAAAGATGCTCTTTGCACGATAGACCTACATGAGCCATGAATACGCACTACTAAAGCTGCAAATCGACAACTCTTTATCAAGTGACCGGTTGAATAATAATAATAATAATAATACACGAAAGATGCTTCTAGCACGATTAGACAGTTGAACTAGCGTACACAAATAGCAACTGTCATCTATTTCATCAACTTATCCTTCAGTGAGCTGCGAAAATCAAACGACAATAATCGTCTTGTAACTTTAAAAGAAAGATATACTTTATATACAACAATTTATGTCAATAAATAAAGCCACTAAGTCAAACGTTGAATAGCACATTCTGATTGGTCAACTGTAGTATGACACAATTGACCAGTAAGGTTTTTCTCGACTACACAGCAACATGAAAAAAAGAATTGAAATACTCAAAATTCTACTTTACCCGTTGATGACTTACAAGTTTTATTGCCAATTCAATAACTTCCTATCACTAACGATAAAAAATCAAAATCCACTCAAGGATTATGTTCACATTCATGTGAAAAGTAGGTTAAATCGCTTAGAGGAAGAGTTCACACTCCTATTAATCAAGATGATAAGAGGTGAGAGGGGCGTGCATTGTCTGCATCGATGAAAAGAGGCTAGAGGATTTGGATTTCACCCCGATGATGATTTATGTCTAGTGTCATGTCACACAAACTCGAAGATGTGCAGGCGAAAACTAATGAGTTGACAGAAGAGGCAGGACAGGGCAGGGCATGCCAGGGTAGGGCAGCGAAGACGGGACTTCAAGTGAGTGTAGATAAGATGAAGGTGATGAAGATACCTAACCACCACCACCACCATCAACAACAACAACAAGATGCAGCAATCACGATTAACGGCAGGAACCTAATGGAAGTAGTCTGTTTCAGCTACCTGGCAGGCAAGGAAGCATTGATTCATCTACATGTGGTAGTTGTACAGATGAGGATTTCAAAGTCAGCCGGTATCGGGAAAGCAAGTAAGACAGGTTTTGACTAATCTGGAATGACCAGTGTCGACTGATTGGGGATATCATGCACCAAGCCAGGTCACCGAGTGGAACCCAGATGGGAAATAGCGAGTTGGTCGTCGCAGCTGAAGGTGACATGGAGGAGGTTGGTAAATCTAACGATGACGTAATTATATTTCAAAAACACTTGTGAGTAAGCAACACCGATGACGTATTATCATCAATACAACATTATAAAGTAGGCTAATGTAGACAGTTGAATGTCAACCAAATATTTAAAGATGTCTATTTATTCTTTTTCTATCCGTTTAATTGTGTTGTGTATTTATTTAGTCCTCTAGGAAATTGAATTCATTCCTTGGATTAATGTTAGTTCGTGATCCATTGAGAAGAGCTACAGCTGCTCAACTTTTATTACATCCATTCTTATTATTGGCTAGTACAAATGAATGTCTTCTCCCTTTATTATATCATTATCAATCGAATATGATCATGTCATAATAGAACCGGGGATGGGGGCAGATTGGTGGGACATTTCAGTGCAATAATATCATCATTAAATATTGATTTGTCTTCCTTCATTATTATTATTATTAGTATTAATTTGGGAATAAATATTTTTATATATATATATATATATAATGGAATGAAGTGATTATTATCCAGACCTCTTAATATCCCTTGAAACTGTTCATGACCAATCACAAGAGACGGATGATACATTCCTGTGTATAAGATTGATAGTGATTCATTTTTTTCTTCTAGAAAATTCTAAAAAGTTGTCACCATTTTTTGTACATGTTTCAATTTAATACAATAAAACTTTAATGCTGGTTCCTTTACTCTTCTCTTCAATTATTCGATGTCTGTTTGTATATATACGCTTATACGGGGAACTATGATAAAGGTGTATCCAGCTGATGAGTTACTTCTAAGTAAGATGAAACTCCCTTGTGACTCGATCATGCAACAAACTGTGAGGAACGAGTAGATGAACATACGCTGGCTGCACCCAATGAAATGACATAAAAGGATTTGAATTTTACCCCAATGATGATTTATGTCTAATGTCACACAAACTTGAAGATGTACAGGCAAAAATTAACAAGTTGGGCAGCAACGCAAGAAAAGAGAAACGTGAAGGAAGTAGCCTCCTTCACCTACGCAGGCAAGACAGCATCGTTTCAAATACAGACGGCACTGGCACAGATGAGGATGACAAAACTGGGATCACAAAAGCAAGAGAGGCGTTCATTAACTTGAAACCAGTGTAGAGATCTACTGCACTGCACTCAGTATAAAGCGTGAACGATATCCGGATTTTCAACATCAATTCAGTCAACTCACTGCTTCTGTATAGCTCAGAGACTTGGTGCGTCTTCAAAAGCATTTGCAGCAAACTGGAGACATTCATCAACAACTGCCTACTCTGGCTCTTCACTGAAGCTTAGATAGATAGCCAGAATTAATAAAGAATGAGGAACTGTTGCTGGGTGGCAACGAACCAACCGTGAACCTATCGCTGAAGAAATATACCTTAGAAGGAAGTGGAGATGGATTGGACATGCACTGAGAAGGCCAACTGGGGACATCACGCGTAAGGCCAAGCCATCGAGTGGAATCAAAAGGGGAGACGACGAGTTGGGTGTCCGAGTTGAGGGTGACATGGGGGAGGAGATGGTGTGAGAAAGAAAGGTACGCTTGTTCAGAGTCACGGAGCCAGGTTTTGAAGACTGACTAGAAACGAATGCAGTGGAGGCGTGCCACTGAAGCCCTATGTTCCACTTGGAACCCAAGGGAAAAATAATAATAATGTCAATCGATAATTATTTCTCAAAAGAATGATTTCACATCAATTATAGCGATTCACTTACATCGAAAAATGCAAAATACTTATCAGGTTTGTAATAAGATTGATTCTTCAAGGTTTGTGTAGCTTACAACAACGAAATTCCATCTCTTTGACAGCAATAATATTTCTTCTAATGTATAAACAGGGTGAGAGAGACAGAGGACGAACACAACCAATTGAGTGTTAATTCACAAACTACTCAAACAAATAGACAGTAGTTAAAGTGTTTTTGCGAAATAAATTCACCAACAAGTTCACATCGGTATATATGTATGTGATCAGGTTTTATTCGATTGAACATTGTGAAGATTGGAGATCAAAATTATTCCCCCCGGATGAGTATTTCACACTCTTCCCTTCTCAAGTTTTCCACACTTATCCCGCCAAAGTCATGATCTTGGTGATGTTCAAATGAATGGGGTATTTCCTATATATATATATATATATATATATATATATATATATATATATATATTAGTCCCTTGCGTTCCTAGTGGAACATAGGGCTTCAGTAGCACGCCTCCAGTGACCTCTGTTCTCTGAGATCTTTTGAACCTGGTTCCACGACAGCCCACAAGCTCTCATTTCCTCCTCGCATGACCTCCTCCATGTCACCCTCGGACGTCCAACTCGTCGCTTCCCATGGGGATTCCACTCGAGCTGGCCTGACGCGTGATGTCCTCAGTCGGCCTTCTCAGTGCATGGCCAATCCATCTCCACTTCCTCCTGCATATTTGTTGCGTGATAGGTTCTTGGTTGGTTCGTTCCCAGAGTTCCTTGTTGCTTATTTTTTCTGGCCATCTGATCTTCAGCAGCGAGCGTAAGCAGTTGTTGATGAATGTCTGTAGTTTATTGGAAATCCCTTTCGTGACGCGCCAAGTCTCTGAGCCATACAAGAGCACTGACTTGACGTTGGTGTTGAAAATCCGTATCTTGTTCCGCATGCTGAGTGCAGAAGATCTCCACACTGGTTTCAGGCTAATGAACGCCTGTCTTGCTTTTCCGATTCTGACTTTGACGTCCTCGTCCGTCCCGCCTGTAGTTGAAACAGTGCTTCCTAGATAAGTGAAGGAGGTTACTTCCTTCAAGTTTCTCCCGTTGACGGTGATTGGAGTTTGTTGTTGTTGTTGATGGTGGTGGTGCGGTATCTTCATCACTTCTGTCTTCTCTATATTCACCTGAAGTCCCGTCTTAGCTGCCTCTTCTATCAACTTGTTAGTTTTTGCCTGCAGATCTTCAAGTTTATGTGACATTAGGCATAAGTCATCGGCGAAATCCAAGTCTTCTAGGTTCTTTTCCGTCGTCCAGTGTATCCCCCTCTTCTCGCTGCCTACTGTTTGCTGCATGATCCAGTCCACCACAATAAGGAATATCATGGGGGATAGTAGGCAACCTTGTTTCACTCCTGTCTTCACTTCAAAGGCATCACTGAGCTTCCCATTGTGGATTACTTGGCATGTGGCATCTTCATATAGTTGTTGAATGAGGCGGATAAAGGTTTGCGGTACTCCGTAGTATTGAAGCAGTTTCCAAATTACTTCTCGGTCGACGCTGTCAAAGGCCTTCTCAAAGTCGATGAAGTTGAGGTAGAGAGCTGATTGCCATTCTACGCTCTGTTCTATGATGATACGAAGCGTTGCAATTTGGTCAGCACATGATTTGTACTTCCTGAAGCCTGCCTGTTCCGGTCGCAGTTTTGAATCCAGTGCGTCTTTAAGCCTCTCCAGGATGATGCGGCTTAATATTTTACTTGGGGTGGACAGGAGAGTGATTCCGCGCCAGTTCTTGCAAGCACTGAGGTCTCCCTTCTTCGGCAGTTTGACAAGGTAACCCTTCTTCCAATCGTCAGGTACCTTCTCTTCCTTCCACACCTTCTGCAATAGTGGTGTGAGCATGTCCGCTGTTGTCTCTGCATCTGTTCTCAGTGCTTCTGGCGGTATTCCATCTGGTCCTGCTGCTTTCCCGCATTTCAGTAGCTTTATGGCGTTCAGGACTTCCATTTTCGTTGGGGGATTTATGTTCACTTGTAATTCAGCGGCTGCAGGTGGTATTTCTGGACGAAGTGCAGGTGGTGGTCGATTCAAGAGCTTCTTGAAGTGGTCGGCCCATCGTTTCCTCTGTTTCTCTTCTTTTGTAATTAAATTTCCTTCTTCATCTTTTATTGGTTTCATCTGTGTTGGTCTCTTCCCTGATAGCAACCTGGTTATTTGATACAATGTCGTCAGGTCTCTCTTACCTGCAGCCTGTTCTGCTTCACTTGCCAGTGTGTCGTAGAAGTGTCTTTTGTCTTTGCGTGCACTCTTCTTCACTTCTTTATCCAGTGTTTTATACATTGTGCTCAGTTCCTCTTGTCGTTGAGCATCCTTGCACTGGTTTATCTTCTGCTTCACCATCCTCCTCTCCTCTATCAGCTTCCAGGTATCCGTCGAGATCCATTCCTTGTCTTCTTTCTTCTTCCTTCCTAATACTGTTGTGCAGGTTTCTTTCCACATAGCTTTCAAAGACTTCCAGTGTTCTTCCACACAGGTTTCTTCAGGGATGTCCCTCGACGTCTCCCATTTTGTCTTGATGGCTGCTTTGAAGATCTCCTTTGTAGTTTCATCCTTCAGTTTCCGAGTGTTGTACTTGAATTGAGGTCTATCACCAGCTTCCTTGAAGGCTTTTAACTTGATTTGGAAGGTTCCTTGCACTAGATAGTGGTCTGAACCTACATCTGCTCCTCTTCTTGACCTTGTGTTAAGTAGACTGCGTCTCCATTTTCTTGAGATTGAGATAAAGTCGATTTGATTTTTAGTGTGTCCATCTGGTGAAGTCCATGTCGCTTTGTGGATATCCTTGTGCCTGAACACACTGCCTCCAATCACCAAATCGTTGAATGCACAGAATTCTGCAAACAATTCTCCATTCTCATTCATTTCACCTAGCGCCTCTCGACCCATGGTTAGTTCTCTTCCCGTGTTGTCCCCTCCCAGTTTGGCATTCATGTCGCCCATTAGAATTTTGATATCGCCAACTGACGTCTTGTCCAGTGTTGATTGAAGTTGTCTGTAGAATTCCTCCTTTTTCTCTTGCTCTGCATTATTTGTAGGTGCATAACATTGTATGATTGTGACCTTTCTTCCTTTTGAGTTGAATCTTGCTGTCATGATCCTGGAGGAGATTGGTTCCCACTGCATGAGAGCCTTCGATGCTCTTGAGGACATCATGATAGCCACTCCCTCAGTGTGCTCGTGGTTGGCGTCTGGGTGACCGGAGTAGATTATTGATTCTCCAGTTGACAGTTTGGAGAGTCCACTCCCATTCCATCTGCTTTCGCAAATCCCAAGCACTTCGATGTTATACCTTCTCATCTCCTTTGCAATCTGGGCTGCCTTACTGGGTTCAAACATCGTGCGGACATTCCATGTCCCCACGTTTACTTTCGCTTTCATCGAGAGAAGACACATCGGCCAATTGGCTTCCCGAAGGCTTTCACCAACTGGCGTCATTTCGCCTCTCCGATTCCAGCGGGGAATAAGTTTGTTTTCATTTTTTATATTTTGTTTGTGCTTTGAAGTTTCTTTAGCGGTTAGATTTGTTTTACGGGGTAGGGTTGCTAGCCCTATGCCCAACCTTCCCTCTTTACCCGGGCTTAGGACCGGCTAGTAAC